ACTTTCCCCTAGTATTGCGGGTTGCCATTGTTGTCTTGTCTACAGAACTGCGAGTTAGTTCGCACTTGTCGATAAACCACATCTTACTCGTTTCGAGGGCAGCGACTCGGGTTGCAATCTTTCCGAAGAGTTGTCGTCTTCCCTCCGAGCTCACTCTGCCAGCCACCCAATTGTTTTTTGTTCGTTTGCATTTCAAACACCAATATCATTCTTCGGTTTCCTTCAGCCCAGAACTGCACGTCGGTTCCCCCTTGTCGATACCTATGTGGTACTTGTTGTAGACGACTTCATTCCCAAAACTCCGAGTTAGCGAGCTCGTTCGCACTCTCTCCTTGGAGCTGTTGTCTTCCTTCCGAACTCACTCTGCCAGAGGACTGCTGTCTTTCCTATCCTTCACCCGATTGTTGCGACTTCGTGTGCATTTCGAACACCCATCTCTTACATCCTTTTCGTCCTCCATTTCGTTAAGTCCGAGTTAGTTCGCACTTCGCTTCTGTAGTGATCTGAGGTTGGGCGTGTTAGTCATCCGAGTTGGTCAGAGGTTGGGCATGTTAGTCAACGGGTGGGAGTACAATGGCGTCCGCAAAGAACACATCCACAAGCGCTGGACCATCCACCCCCGGGGAGGGATGACCTCTTCAGCAATCTACTCCTCAGTATATGCGCGCAATGGGATCAGAATGGTTTTTGGACTTCGTTGTTCAGGGGGACCTTTTTGGGCCAGCTGTTTTCATGCGACCCACTTGCGTTCCAGACGCTGGGGGAGCTGCCAACGTTCTTCCTCTCGGTACCATCGTCTCGTGCGCCAAGACTCCTGGAGGTTTGCTCAAGCTGCAAACTAATGGCTTGTACGACGAGTGCAGATTGCCTCTCAGAGGTGTTAAGGGCGTGTTGGTGACCATCAAGAGTTTCGCGGGGTACGACTCGAACATGACGTTGTGCTCTCACTTCAAAGGCCTTTGCGATGGCGGCAGCAAGCGTCTTCCATCGCCAGAGCAATATCTTGATCTCGCGATGATGGTGCCGAAAGAACGTCCGGTTCTTTCGCGAGATCATGTTTTTAGGCTTCTGCCACCCCATGAGGGGTCGTCCGGCTTGGCTCAAGAAACTCCAGGGACGGCAGTGGGGCGCGGGAGTGCGATTCACGACGCTGGGGGTCGGGTTAAGAGGCTCGCGCGCAGCGCTCGCACGCAGGTTGGCCCGGATGCTCCTGGGAACACGTCGGACTTGCATTCTCAGGGTACAGGGACTCAACAGGTCGTTACTCCGAAACTCCTCAAGGTCCACTGCGGCGGCGACACGTATTCGCTTCGAGATGAGCCGAGAAGAGAATCCGGCAGATCGGGGCAAGATGTCGGAGGGAATGAGGCTGAAGGGATGGACGCTGTCCGCGAAAGCTCTGGCGGGGAGCCGACTCCTTCGGAGAAGAGGCGCGAGCGACAGAGGATGGTGCGAGAGGAGGTGGCGGAGGGAACCCTCCGCATGAAGAGGATGAGAGGAAAATCGGAGGCGGTGATGGGCGGGGACGGAGGTGACGTCGGAGAACGTGCCTCGGGAAAGAGGCCCGACGATTTGACCATCCGCGAAGGACAAGCCATGGGTGGAGGAGATTCGGATAATCCAGGCGCTGCGACCGCGAGAGAACCTTCGGGGAAATCGAAACGGAAAGTGGCAGCTGAAGAAGGCGATGGCCAGAAGAAACCTCGAAGGCGGAAGACTGTTGAGGCGGCGAGCGGTGGCGAACGGCCTGTTGGGGAGGAGTGTGACGAAGCGCCAGCGTTCTGGCTCGAATACGAGCGGAACGATGGCGGTGAAATCGTGGAGAAGGAGCTCCCCGTCCAACTGCTCATCGACCCCAGGAAGGTCTGCGACATCCTGCCTTGGGAAAGATATTACAACCACCGCAGTCTAAATCGCGAAACAGTGGACGACATCAAGGATGCGATGTTGAGTCAATTCCGTGAGAAAAAGGGGAAGATCTGGACGAAAAACCCTCTGGTTCTGGCACCCATCTACAAGCCGGTGACGCGTAGGCCGGAGCAAGCTGACAGGGTTCACAAATATGTCTTCAAGCCAGAGGACAAGGACAAGTACTACTATTACCCTGTTAACGGACAACACATAGTGGCTGCTGTGAAGGAGTTGGAGGGTGAGCCAATATTCGATTTGTGGAAGATGCACTCGTGGCCGGCGAGAGTAGTGTGGTTCTCCGACCGAGATTTCGCGGGGTATAGGCAGGTCAGTCTCAACGAGAACACGAGACACAAGATGTCTAAGCAGCGATTGCAGAAGGTCGCGTTCTTGGACAGCTCACGGGACGTTGGCAAAAAAAGATTTGTCGCTCGCCGACAAGGAGTATGTCGCTGCCGTTGGCAATGCATTGAGGCAGTGGATGCCGCTCGTGACGGCCGATGATGACGTTTTCCGCAAAGCCATGGAGTTCTACGCGAAATGGGCAGAGGGGAAGTTGTTGGGCGGCGACGGCAAGACGCCATTGTCGAGGTCGGGCAAATACATGCCAGACAAATCTCCGGGTCTGCAAGCAATTCCGAAAATTGGCTTGAAAGGGGCGGCTGGTGAAACGAAGATGGGGTGGCTGGTCCGGGTACCGCCGCCTCCGACCAAAAAAAAAATGCAAGCGGACGACAAGTTTTTTGTGGTCGTGAAGGAGCCAGACATGTTCTGTTGGCAGTGTCTCGCCGACATGACCGATGTCGAGAAACTGTCGATCCTCGACGACATTCTCGCACTAAGGGGAGTGTTCGTGGAATCCGCGTGCGGGCATCTGAAGCGTCAGCATAAACCTGGAATTAAAGACATGGTCGCGACGACGAAAGTGGACCGTGTGATGCTCCGTATGTTCCACTACATCTTGTTCCTTGAAACGGAGGAGGACGGACGTGTTTGGCGCTACGGGAGCCCTTTTTTCCAGACCGAGGGGCGGCTCCTGGAGGAGTTCGGGCTGCAGTGCCTCACGAAACAGGTGTGGGTCGAAATGCGAAAGCATTTCCAGGGCGCGGTGGAGTACGTGAACACTTGCAAACGTACTCTTCCGCACGAGAAGGAGTCTCTCGACGACGCGAAGAACTTGTACGAGGACGACAGGTTCCCTAAATCTTTCGAAACGTTTGTGATCTCACACTCCTCACAGACTGGCGAGAAGACGATTTCGCCAACTTGCAAGGCGTTCTCCAAACACTTTCGCCAACGCACTGGGCACTTGTGATCTTTTTCCCCTCTCGTTGGGAGCTCATTTTCTTGAAAGGCATGGCCAAGCTTAGCATCCACGTCAAGACAGGGAAGTGGGTGCGCAATGCACAAAAGCAGGCCACTGTCCGGGAAGGCAATATGCTGGTTGAGGAGTGTGACCGCCTGTACGTGATTTTAATGGCGAGAAGCTGGAAGACAACACATTTGCAATCTACCCGGCCAGTAGCCCGACAAAGGCTTCCCGTGCTCATGGTCCAAGTCCGACCAAACACATGGTGGCGGCCCGCTCGAAAGTTGTCTGTTCGTCGGATCCATCAGGACAGGCTGTGGCGTGTTTCGACGTGCCGGAAGAGGAAAGGTTCTCTCATAGCATGTGGGAGGACGGCGGCGTGACAAGTGTTAGTGGAGCTGCTTATGGGGAGATGGAGCGGAACCCGTCCCGTCTACTCGGTCTACTCGAAAACTGTTGCAAAGCTGGGCAAACTGTTTTTTTCTTTGGGACCTTCACGAGTTCGTGAAGACACGCGTTGCAGACCCTCGCAATGCTTGCGAGTTTGTCCAGACCACCGGCGAACGAAACTGGGATCCCAAACGTGACATGTATTGGAAATTGTCAGGGAACAAAAGTACGAAGGTTTGGGACTTCCTTTTCCAACCTGGACCGCCTGGTCCGACCGACCTCGAATACAGTCGACGGAGAAACCTGGTGTTCGGTGTGCTCAATGGGTACCACGATGCACCCAGGGAGTCTGTCTCGCATTTCCTGAGAAGGGTGGAGCACGTTTACTTCACGCTGGCTGAACCGCTCACCCTCGAAAACTACAAGTCATAGTTTGACAAGGAGGACCCTTTCGACGCTGAAGACATGGAGGAGTTGAGCGACTACGAGACCTTCGATTTCGAGTCCATGCCACTTCCTCAGGTGGTTGGACAGGTTGGTGATGAAGAGGAAGGTGGCCCTCGGAGATATAGCACGTCCCCTGCCGGTTTGAAGCGTGTGTTTCGGGGCGAACCAGTCGACGACCAATCGTCTGATGACGGGGACGAAGAGAGAGACTATGATCACGAACCTTGTGACAGGCTACCTGAGGACCACGACACCTGGCAGAATGACAGACTCTACTTCTTCGGCAAGCATCACCGGTTCACGGCGGAGGATGTCTGGGGACACAACGTCGTCTGGCACCCGAGGATATTCCAACCTGCTGTGAAGAATGGAATGTGGGTCATGGCAATGAAGGAGGCCGATGGCAAGTGGAGTGGACTGAAGAGACTGGGAGCGGGTGCATTTAAGAGAACGGCGAGACATGCTCTGGTGGAGCATTTGAGTCTTATGAACCCCGAGAGGAATGATCTGGACGTCGCTGCGTACGCAGAACAAAAGCTAAATGAGTTGTACACCAACAACATGTTGGAGTTTCGAGCGCCTTTCTACACACTCGAAACGACACCGTCTCGTGGCATTGACTGGCGCATGCCGCAACCTCCGTCGGACGGTCAGCATCCGGGAGGGGGTGGAGGAGGAGACGAAGGAGACGGCGAAGGTGGCGGAGGAGACGGCTCACAGTTTGCCGGAAAGGGGACGGGCGAGACATCGTCGGTAGAGAAGGCGTGCGGCGGAAAGGGGTCAGGCGGAAAGGACTCGGGCGGAAAGGGGTCGGGCGGGAAGGGGTCGGGCGGGAAGAGTAGAACGTCCGAGAGTCCCCAGTATATGGAAACTGACCCCCACTGCGTAGGGAGTCGAGATTCCGACATGCGAGACGAGGCCACCCTGAGGTGTGATCAAGTGCGAGTAGATTTGCACTTGTTTGCGAGGACTTTGTTTCCCGTTGCCGAGGAGAGTCCATCCCGCCGTGCACAACAGAGGTCTCCTGTGCTCAATACCTTGCTCCTGAAAGAGGGCGTGTCTTCGTTTTGCCTGGAGGGCGGGATGCCTGCATTTCGAAGGAGCGAAGGTGCGACCTTCGGTTCCCTCGGCTCGGGCGACCACCACAAACTCCGAATACATTCGGATTTGCTGACGTTGCCCTCCACCATAAGTGCTCCTCACGCAACAGTTCCGCGGGGCCAAGAAAATGTGACGTCCTGCCCCCCGCATCTTCAGTTGGACACAGGGTTACCCTGCTCGCCTCCGTTCTCATGTGTTAAGACTCGAGACTGGCGGTCCCGCGATGTGCTGGAGGGGCCCGCTGCAGGAGTGTTGGGGACCAGGGGTGGCGAGTACGAACGTCATACTCCTGGGGAAGAGGAGCGCTCTCCGGGAACGCGTGCTGTACATAGGGAAGAGGAGACTCAACGCTGGCAGTCTCGCAAAGTGTTGGAGATCGGGGGTAGCGAGTGTGAACGGCATGCTTCGGAGGGTGCGTCCGTGGACACTGACAGCGAGAGTGCAGGAGCTCCGGGGGAAATGCATGCTCTACAGCGGGGAGAGGAGTCACGAAGGATGCCGGCTCGGGAATACGTGAAGGGGCTCCACGCACGAGCGTTGGTGATCGGGACGTCTGAAGAGGTTCTGCACAGTCGGTCGGCTGTGGCCACGACGCGAGAGGGTATCGTTAAGGAAGGTCAGTGGACGTTCGTGCAAGCTCCCGTTCCTGGCGACGATGAAGACGAAAAAGAACCCGCAGCGAAAGCTCGGGTTCATGGCGATGAGAAAGGCGGAGAACCCGTGGTGGAAGGCGGTGAGGTGACTGTCGGCATCCAAACGGATCCACAGCGGAAAGATGGTGATTCTTCGTCCATCGTTGCGGTGAAGAACAGGGTGGTCGAGCGTCTGTCCTAAGCACCGCTCAGGGAATGGTGCTTCATGAAGCCATAGAGTTGGGTGACGGCTCGGCTGCCACCGAGCTGGTTAGCGACTCAGGCGTGACCGAGATGCAGAACGTCGAATCCTCCGTGGAAGGCGGTGAGGTGGCCGTCAGCATCAAGATGGATCCAGAGCGGAAAGATCATGATTCTTCGTCCACCCGTTGCGGTGCAGAAAAGGGTGATCGAGCATCTGTCCTCAGTACCGGTCGGGAAATGGTGCTTCATGAAGCATCGACTTGCCAAGCGACTCAGCTGCCACCGAGCTGGTTAGCGACACGGCCGTGGCCAAGGTGCAGAACCTCGAATCGTCCGTGGACGTCGGCGCAGTGGCGCGACATGAGGGCGAGTTCCCTCAAAGGGCTCCCGAGCACGGTAAGATTTGTGAATAGGAGCACTCGCATATCTGTCACTAGCCAGCTCTGTGTTCGTCCAAATTGATGTCATGGGCTAATGTACCTTTTACCACTTGTTAAAAATAAATTTGTGGGTTGTGGGTTGTTTTCTATGTTCTACAGGTGTGAGTTTGTCAATGTCCCTGCCCATTAAGCCTGTAAAAGCCGTGAGCGAGAAATGTCTTTCAGGGAGGTCATTGGCCGCTTTACCGAAGAAGTCGTCAAGTGTAGGGTTGTTTAAAAGGGTCCAGATGCCTCGCCTTTCCCAGAGAGTTGTCAGGGTTCTGAAGGCTTGTGGAATAGATAAGGAGGAAGGTTTGCGGAAACATTTGGCTGCGTCTATTGAAAGCGTTACTGCTTTGTCTGATGGTTCTAATGACGATGCCAAATGGGGTGTCTTGAAAGACCCGTGTCCTAAGTACATCGCCAAGGACACATTCAACAGTCGGGGATACAACTTTTCTTGGAAAAGGGCAAACGGTTCTTAGCCATTTCGCCCCGGTGATTTTGATCACTCCTCACACTTGTTCGTGGGTGTTTGTGCAGCTGGGGCTACATCATGTTTTCGCGTTCCGTTGCCTACTGAGGAGCTTAGCGCTACGGACTTGAGAATGTTGCGGAACATCTGTGGAGATTTCAGCAACGGTCACGAGGTGGTATCCTCGGTTCGCAAAGGGGTCAGTTCAATTCCGTTGAGCAGAAAAAGTCTTCAAACTCTTGTTCAAGGGGAATGGCTTTCCGACGAGGTGGTGGAGTCGTACTTGGCCTTGCTTGCCGCTGCTGCGTTGCGTGGGTGTCCCTCTCTTTACATTTTCAGTCCCTTTTCCTATACCAAGCTCGTCCGTGGCGGCTATCGATATGATAGGGTTGCGAGATGGACAAAGATGTGGATATTTTCTCGTATGAGATGGTCTTGATTCCTGTCTATAAACATGGTGTGCATTGGACCCTATTGTGTCTCCGAGAACAACGGCTGGAGTACTACGACTCCCTCGTACAAGACGATGGTGGTTTTTCTTCCGATGTGATTACGAACTTCACACAATACCTCTGTGACGAAGCAGTTTGTCATTATAGTCAAAAAACGAAAGTGGATCTCCAGGAGCCCAAGGTGGTTGTTCGTGGTGTCCCTCAACAATCGGACGGGTCGAGCTGCGATGTTTTCATGCTCGCCTTCGCTTCATTTCTTGCACGCGGTTGTCCGCCACCATTTCCGATAGACCAAATCGACATTCCAAACATCCGGCTGAGGATTGCAGTGGACATACTCCAAGGCGCTGAATGATACCAGTGTTGTTAAAATACGCGTAGTTTTTTTTTCGAAATGCCATAAGCAGAAGTGTGAATTTATTCCCACTTGACCTACCAGTCGGCCGGTTCGAGCTGTGTTGTTGTTTTGATGACGTACCTGATTGCAGTGAACATTTTAGTCAAGTAAACGCTAAGGTGTTGATGTGAATATCCCAGCCTCGTGCTGTAGCAATTTTTTAAGGGTTCTTCATTTCGAGGAACCTGTCATCTTTACTCGTATGCCTTTCGGCAGCGCCGTGCTGCCTTTGTTTGTTTTCGGGTTGTTCTCATTGCTTGCCGCGCAACATCAGCTAGAGGGTTGCAGCGGACGCTTACGTGAAGTACAATCTTAGATGCCGATGTAAATATCCCAGCCACGTGGTGCAGTATCTTTTAAGTAGACGCTTAGATATGGGATGTGAATATCCCGACTTTCAGACCGCGGCAGCACCGTGCTGCGTTTGCCGCGCCGTGCTGCGTTTGTTCGTTTCGAGGTTGTGCTACTCTATTACTCATAGGACGTCTTCGTCCTCTTGTAAACATTTTGCACTCATGCTCTTACTGAAAGATATCGACGATTTATTCTTGGTCGCCAAATTGTTTCGTGCTTATCTCTTTCGTTC